GCTGCTGCCTCCGCCTCCGGCCGCCGAGCCCGGGCCGGGGAGTCCGGCCGCGGCGGGGTGGGAGGATCTTGCGCCCCAGCTTGGACGGCAGCAGGTGGGAAGCTGGTCTTCCGGGCTTTTGCGGCTACCTAATTGCAACCTGGCCTTGGGCAAAGTTTCCTACCCTTCTCCGAGCCCCACACTTCCCTTTTCCTCTCCTCGGTGGCCACAGAGTGCTGTGCGTGCTCCTCGAGGGGCCTGCGAGGTTGCAAGCGCTGGGGCGCAACGTTTGCAAGCCGGGGAGGATTGCATCTCAGCCCGGGCGCGTCCCCCTGTCCCCTCCCTCCCACCCAGGGCCCCTCGCCCCGCGAATCCTCCGCAGAGCCTGCGGGGTGCTGTGGAGCAGCGAATTAAATGGGGGACCGGGACCGGGGACCCGCGCGCAGAACTCGGCAGGATTCAGACGCGCGCCAGTGTTGCAACCGCACAGCCGTTGGGGCTATTTCTCCTCCCCGACTGTTGGTGAATTACTTACAAAGCGCCGAGACTTCTCTGAAGGGTGAACGACTCGTTCCTTCTCGCATTGTCCTCCCTCAATCTCTTTCTCCACCACCGCCCGGCACGCTCTGCTGATCTAAAATCAGAGCAATTAGAGAGTAATGAATTCTCTGGAACAGCAACTCCTACAGACACTCGCGCTCTGCCCTCGCATGGGCGCCTCCCAACCCTTCTTCCCAGCAACCAGGCAAGAGCGTGTAGACAGACCCCTTTAGAAACCTAGGTCAAGTTCAGTGTTACCGGGGGTCTGGACCCTGGAACTTTAGATTAATCCACGCGTGTGTGTTTGTGTGTGTAAACTGAAGAGTAAGTGCATATCTCTGAGTACTTCGGTGCCAAAACGAAGCTTTGCTCCTAAAGGACACAATATATTTAGGAGTCTTTCCCTTTCTTACACCGAGTTTGAAATCCGTGTGCGTGCGTGTGTGTGTGTGTGTGTGTGTGTGTGTGTGTGATGTTTATTTCCTCAAGCGATCAAATTTGTCTTTCGTGCAGTTTATTTACCCCTTTAAACTCCCCC